TAAAATTAATAAAATTTAAAAAAAATGGGTGACCCCGGAGGATATTATGCTGAGTGAAGTATCTCAGTCACAAAAAGACAAATACTGCATGGTGCCACTGTTGTAAAACAGGACTGACCATGGGGTTGGCAGGAGACTGAGAAAGATGGGTTCAATAATGTATCCTGCATTGAAACAGATGAGGGAGAAAACTGTTTAAAAGGGATATGCGATTAGGTATTTCTGTCATGACAGGAGTCCAGAGCGAAGGCTGCATAGTGGAGTGGACCTGTGGGAACAGACTGTAAAACAATGACAGAATTTTTCTTTTACTTGGTAGTGTACAGGGGGAGGTGGGAGGGAGAAAAGTGCAACAATGAATGAATGGAAAATCCAAAGTCTCTGTAAATTTTCATTGAAATTAACAATAAATTTTTTTAAAAAAGAATGCCCATTCATATATCCCTTTTAAACAGATCTCTCCCTCATCTGTTTCAATGCAATATACATCATTCCTATCCTCCTCTTCTGTCTTCACTCAACCATGATGTCAGTCCCATTTTACAACAGTGGCCCTATGCAATATTTGGAAGTGGACATTTTCTTCATTCACAGATGACATGTTTATTCCTTCACCATAATTCTGTATCAATTTTTTCTAAATTTAGTGGTTCTTGGTCAATTTCAGAATGAAAAATTTCTATTAATTATTTATTTCAGTGGATATTTACTAGGAATCTATCCAAGTTATAAAAATAGAATTCTGTACAAATAATCTCTACATTCTTTATTCTAAGGTAACTGAGTGCTTCCCTATAAAGTTCTGGTGGCATACTGGATAGGAAATTGGCCTGCCAAACAAAAGGCAGGCAGTTCAAATCCACCAGCAGCTCCTTTGGAGAAAGCTAGGCAAGCTCCTCCCATTAAATATACAGCCTCTGAAAACCCAAAAAGCACACAACAACTAAGCATCAAGTACTTTCTGTGGGCTAGAAGCATTCCAGGTACCTTAGCGAGGCGTACATCACTTGGAATTCACAATCACCCTCTTAGGCAGGTTGTTGTTGTTGTGGTTGTTGTTGTTGTTGTTGTTGTTATGTGCCGTCAAGTTGCCTGCAACTCACAGTGACCCCATGTACAACAGCCCTAAACCCTGCTCTATCCTGTGCCAATATTATTGTCTGACACACCTACCCCCATTACCCCAGTCACTGGGTCAACCCCTCTCGTTGAGGGTCTTCCCCTCCTGCACTGTCCCTCCCCCCTCCCAAGAATGACGTCCCTCTCCAAGGACTGATCCCACCTTGCAATATGTCCAAAGTATGTCAGACGAAGCTTCAGAATCCTTGCCTCCAAGGAGCAGCCTGACTTCACACTCTGCAGGATGAACTTGTTTGTTCTTCTAGCAGTCCATGGAACATTCAATACTCTTCTCCAGCACCACAGCTCAAAGGCATCAACTCTCCTTCTATCCTACGTAGGCATTGTCCAGCTCTCTGATGTATAGCAAGTAATTGCAAAGATCATGGCCTGTGTCAGGTGCACCTTAGTCTCCAGACTGACATCTTGCTCTTCAGTACTCTGGAGAGGTCTCTGACAGCAGACTTTCCTAATGCAATTTGTCTTTTAATTTCCTGGCTGCTGATACCAAGAGTGTTGACTGTAGAGCCAAGCAAACAGAAGCTGTCAACAATCTCAATCTCTTCACCATCTATCATGATGCTCCCCATTTAACAGATAAGAAAACTGAAGCACACGGAGATTAAACCACTTGCTCCAGGTCACACCAATATTAAGTGACCTGTGTCATTCCTCATGCTGTGGTGCTGAGATATTCCCTCCATACGACGGAGAGTTAAGTATTCTACCCAGTCGGCTTCAGAGCGCTGCTCTTGTTCAGGGCTGTCCAGTTGAATACAGATCACAGCAATCCTATGAAGAACAGATCTGGACCTTGCGCTGCGCTGTGCCGTCCTCCCCATCTCTGCCATATCTGAGTCTTTTGTTTCTGTCACCATGTCAATCCATCTTCTTGAGGGTCTTCCTCTCTTTCACTGACCCCCTCCAGCCTTCCCAGCATGATGTCTTTTCTCCAAGGACTGGCATCAGCCAACAGCAGGCCCTGAGTCTGCGGGACGAAGCTTCCCTCCCCATAAAGTATGCCCTGCTCCACTCTGTCCAAAGCACACCTGTTTGTTCTTCTCCAACAGCACCGGTCACAGGCATCGACCTTCCTCCATCATCATCATCATCATTCACTGTCCTGCTTGTCCGGTTACCAGATGCACAGCAAGTAGCTGAAAAGACCATGGCTTAGATCAGGGGAACCTTAGTCTTTAAAATTGCATCACTGCTCCTTAGCACTTTAAAGAGGTTCCTGACAGCAGATATTCCCAAAGTAACACATCTTCAGACTTCTTGAATGCCAGCACCAAGGGTGTTGATGATGGAGCCAAGCAATCACTGACATTTCAACCTTTTCCCCATCTATCATGATGCTGCCTACTGGCCCAGCGGTGAGGTTCTTTGTTTTCTGATGTTGAGATGTAATTCATATTAAAGGCTACAGCAAGTATGTCAAGAAAGGTTACGTCATCTGCATAACAACGGCTTCTTAATGAGTCTTCCTTTGATCCCTACACCACATTCCTAAGCATAAAGTCCAGCTCCTTAAATGATTCATTCTGCATGCAGATTGGATAGGTATGGAGAAGCAACACAGCCCTGACGCACCCCTTTCCTGATTTTAAACCGTGCAGTATTCCCTTGCTCTGTTCTCAGAAACTCTTGGTCTAGAGATAAGTTTCACATGAGCACAAGTGTGGTGGGATGGTCATTTTCAGTGTCAGTCACAACTTGTTATGATTTAAATAGTCAGATGCCTTTGCATACTCAATAAAACATAAGCAATGATATACCTGGTGCAACAGCCTCTTCTAAATCCAGCTTGAGCTCCTGGCAATTCTTTGTCAATGCACTGGTCTAGCCATTCTGGATTATTAATATTCAGCAAGACTTTACTTGTATGTGACAGTAATTATTGTTCTATAATTTCCACATTCTATCAGAGCACCTTTCTTAGTAACAGGAATAAATATGGATCTCTTCCAGTTAGTTGACCAGGTAGCTGTCTTCTAAATTTCCGGGCACAAACTGGTGAGCACATCCAGGGCTGCATCTATTTACTGAAACAGATCAATCGGTAACACACTGATTCCCAGGGCTTTATTTTTTTGCCAATGCCTTCAGTGCACCTTGAACTTTTTCTCTCATTACCATTAGTTCTTGGTCATACGGTACTTCCTGAAATGGTTTTTGTCAGCCAATTATTTTTGGTACAGTCTCTGTGTATTCTCTCCATCTTCTCTTGATTCTTTCTGGATTTTTCAAGATTTTGCCAATAGCATCTTTCAGTATTTCAAGTCCAGGCTTGAATCTGTTTCAGATAGTAAACACCATGAATTTCTGATGCAGAATGAGGCTGTCATTATTAACTAACTCATGTGGAAGTTAAATACACACACGTATTCATGAGGGAAGCCTGCTCAAAGGTTTAGATCCTCTCCCGTCCTTCAAGAGAAGCTTGAAGATGAGCTAACAACTGCTCCTCCAGTCTCCCCGGCTCCTGCACTGGGTGTAGTTCCCACAGAGGGTCTTCAACGGTACAGTGTTCGGTGTCCTACACTATACAAAGCTACACAAAGCTACACAGCTGTTTCTTCACCTCTTGCAATCCTTTTGCCTACATCCAGCAAAGAACCATTCCCCAAAAGACAGAGTCCCCACACAGTCACAAGCCTCCTCACAGGCGTCCGGGCCCACAGGTGGAGACTTGCTCTTAAAGAGGAACTAGGGGCACTCTCGGCTTTCTGAGCTTGGGGAGAGCTCAGCACTCCAGAGCTGACAGGATGTGAGCAGCTCCAACCTGCAGAGTCTGTCACTTCTCAGAGGGTTCTGCCCCCTCTGGAGTGCTGCCCTAGAGAATTATAAAGAAACTTCAAGACCATTAACATTACAGACTCATCTGAGCAGATTCACTCTGAACCCTGGTGGCACAGTGTGTCAAGTCGCTAACCCAAAGGACAGCAGTTCAGATCCACTAGCCGCTCTGAGGGAGAAAGATGGGTCATCTCCTCCCATGAAGATGTACAGTCTCGGAGGGTCACCAGGAGTCAGAACTGACCCACAGGCAGTGGGGTGGGGCTGCACAGAGCAGGCCTACAGATAGCCAATGCAGACTCCGATCATGCCGTTACTGAACAGATCATGGGGCATCTTCTGCTGAAGGTGGCCGAAGGTGCAATCTAGGTAAAAGAGACAACCCTCTCCCCCCTTCTGATGCATTTTAACTATGGCAGGTCTTCTCCTTGAGGGGCGAACCCTAAAACTCCAGGGGACGGTCTGCATATGGTCTAGAGCTCTGAATTCTGTCATTTCCTATCTGGCCTGTGAAGCCTGGCTGTATCCTGAACCACTCAAGGCAAGAGCATTCATTAAATGTCAGACATTCGTTCACTCTTCAATGCTAACAGCTATAACAAAGGAGATCTCGGTCATTAAGAGAACTTCATCAACCAGTAACAAACAGCCCCCACCGTGAGTCTGCATGCAGGCTGAATGCTGGGGAGGAGCTGTCCTCCTCGGACACACAAGAGTTCAAGGACACGGCCCAGGCACAGAACCTCAGGTTAGGTTCACCGAAAGCTGCCCGCCCAAGTTCCAGAAAGGAGGCAGCCAGGTGACCCAGTGACAGGATTCAGCAAGGTCTACAACACTGACAGCAGAAGAGACTGTCTCATGTCGTCTCCAGCTTGCCTGACTTCATCCTGCACTTAGAACCAGCCAGGCACAGCTCAGAAAGCGACAATAACAAGTCCCTCTCCCGCCTGCTGGCTTCCCAGATGTCATGTGGACAATGGCCCCAGGAAGGAGTGGCTTACCTGGGCGGTGTCGGTTGGCTGCCTCAGTGGGGAGCGAACTGCCCTGCAACCTTCTTACTCCAGTCTTCCCGCCGGTCCCACCAGGGTAGTGAGAGATGACAGAGGCAGAGCATAACCCCTCGAGGGCAGCTGGGCACAGAACAGACCAAAAAGCACAATTAGTACCTGAGCACGTCTCGATTCAACTGCCTGACCAAGCAGAGTGATGAGAATGGTTCTTTATTTGAAAATGCCGAATCTTCTTCAAGACCAAGATGACACTGAAATATCACTAGTTTTGTTACAAACAGAAATATGCCTCCAGTCTCAGTCTCCTAAAACCGCTGTACCAGAAATATGCCAAAATGTGTGACTTTAACAAAGAGAAGTTTATTCTCTCAGTTTGCAGTTGTTGTCAGGTGCCATCAAGTTGACAAAGACTCAACAGTTTAGGGGGCTAGAAGGCCAAGTTTAGGGTGCTGGCTCCAGGGGAAGGTCCCTGTCCCCTTTCAGCATCTGTGGGCATGGTGCCCCTTGGAGGTCTCTGGGGTCTCAGTATCATTCTTCCCCTGGGTCTACACAGTTCTCAACACAGGGACCCTGGGTGCAAAGGAGCCTGAACACTCAAAGTGCTCCACTTCTGACTCTTCTTTCTTGGTGGAACTGAAGTCCCTGGTCTCTGCTCACTTGTTTAATTTCTAAATCTCAAAAGAGACTGACTCAGGATACAACCTAATCCTGCAGATGGTACCTATCTTGTTAACATGACTGGCTCCCACCCTGATGGGTAACCATTACAAAGGTGACGTAATTACAACAGATCACAGAGTGCAGGATAATTACATAATACTGAGGGTCATGGCCTAGCCAAGTTGACACATATTTTGGGGTACATAATTGATCACAGCTGCTATTGTTTCCCCCAAGTCTGAGCAGAAGCTGGCAGCACAGAGAGCCCTTAGGACATTCCAGACCTCACCCAAGAGCAGTGTGCAAGAGCCCAGTGGCCTCAAGGCAGTAGGGGCCGGTGGCCTCAAGGGCAGCCCACAAGGAGCCAGTGGCCTCGAAGGCCATGTGCAAATGGCCCACAGCCTCAGGAAGCATGCTTTCATATGACAGCATGTTAAATCATGTGTAGGCTATGAGTCAGGTGCTGGGGTGAGAAGCTTTCAACTGAAAGGAGCCTGGTGCATGTGAAAATACAGGACATAACCCCACCAGAGCAGGACCAGAACGCCTACCCGCTGATGCACCTGCTCGGCCTTCTACATCTATTTCTTTCTGCTTCCGTCTACTCCTAGCTCTTCCCACCTCTCACAGTCAAGTTATGAGACTGAAGCTGACCGTATTCTCTCTTGCTTTTATTGGCCCTGCAGCATTTCACTGTCACCGCTGCCGTTAGGTGCTAGCAGTTCAGCTGACCGTGACAACCCTACCAACAGCTGGGGCACTGTCCCGTCCTCTGCTGGCCTCACGGTCATTGATATGTCTGCCCCCCGTTGTTCCACAGGCCCCTGAAGTGAGGGCTCTGTGGCCTTCGTCCTCACAGAAGTCGACTGCTTGGTTATGGAGGCTCATTCGTCCCCAATCAGGATACATGTCAGTGTAGACTCAGGAAGGACGTGCTTCAAGCACAACCACGTGGGGCAAGGGCGGCTGTGTGGGAGGCGATGCTGGGGACCCCAGACAGTGCCCGAGCTCTGGCACAGGGCGGCCTGCCCCCTCCTTCCTTTTATTTACGTTCTAACATGGTGAACGTATGCACGTACAGTCAGTGACACTGGGGACATTCTTCAAGGTGTCCCACTCCACCAAGGTAAATTCATCGCCCCCGCACACGAAGCCCCACCACCGACCTCCGATCATCTCATTTCTCCATTTGCTGCTCTTTTCCATGCGCGGCCATGGTCTTTGTGTGCCTCCACGGTGCACGGACTCATCTGACACCATTGCCCCGGCTCCTCTGCACGGGGACTCAACAAGATGATACACCCTGTGTTGTCTGGCATGGGGTGAACTGAGTGCCCCCAAAACACACATCAGTAGTGATATCACGTGAATGTTATGAATTATCCCCTATGAAAAAATGAATCTGAAAGTGAATTGAGAGTTGGGACCAACCCAGAGACCTCTGCACCACTAAGAAAGAATGGCCAGGAGTGGACCACAACCTTTGGACAAGCTCCCTGCGCTGGGAAGCTCCTGGATGCTGGGGCAGGGTGCAGCATGGGTCAATCTTCAGGAATGTCAGACCTACAGATGCTGAGGAAACTCCTCCAACAGCAGTTGCCCTGAAGTGGGGCCCCGCCTGCTGAACTGTAAGAGGGCACATTTCTGGGGGTTAAAGTCATCCAGTCTGGTATCTGTTAGAGCAGCAGCCAGATCTCGGACCCTGTCGATGGACACCTGGACAGTGCAGCTGTATCAAAGCACATCTGGTCCTTTGAGCGCCAGTTCTGGGCTGCGATTCTCTTACCTCCGAGCCACAGGAAGTCGTTAACAGAGCGCAGCAGCTCCACAGACATGTGGTAGTGCACCAGCGAGTCCTGCAGCATCCCAGCCTGCAGACACAGGTCCCCGACGTGCTTCCGCATGCGCCCCTGGCACCGCTTCTTGTAGTGTCTACAAGACCAAGGCAGAGCAGCCATCGTTACTCATGGGCCTGCCCCAACCACCCACCCGGGGTGCCCCTCTGAGCCTCCCACTACAGCAAATGCGGGCGGGGGGGGGGGCTTCAGGCTCTAGGGAGAAGCCAACAAAGCGCACGCTGGGTGTGCAAGCTGGGGTCTTCTCCCCCCCAGTAACACCCACCATTTGGCTACCTCATCCAGCTAACCAGTGTCTCAGCCTGGACAGCACCGGAGGGAAGGAACACACCTTCCTTTCCCTAGTGCCCCAAACAAGAAACCTTATTTTTTGCAAAATCTATCATGTTCCACCTTCCTCCTCTGAGACCCTCTCATTCTCAATCTCATTGTCTAAAGACATAACACTGCCTCTTTTAAGCCACCTCTTTGCTCTGGTGAACAAACCATTTCATCTTCCCTGTCTAAGGACAAGGTCACAGACGCTTGGGGGGGGGGCCTCTGGATCTCCCCTCAATTCACATCACATTTCAGTAATGCCCAGGCCCCAAACTCCCAGCCAGAACCAAGACAATCAGACCCAAGATCAACCTCTGTCACTCCTCGGCTCTTAGATACTCGATTTCTAAGAGACAGGACTGTTTAAAGAGCAATGGCAGCTGACCACAATTCCCTGGCCAGTGCCCATCCTCCATCGGTTTCTAAGACCGTAATCTTTACGGAGGACACTGTCCATCTTCCTCCTTAGAGCATGGATTCGAGTTGCCAGTTGGCAGTCAATACACCACACACTGCACCACCAGGCACCCATCCCTAAGTACAGCAACCTTATCAAGGGTAGGACAGCTCTAAGGAGGTCAAGCGCTGAAGTTTCTCACTAAACAATGAGGACTGACGGGCCTCAGTACCACCCAAAGCCTATATCAGGATGAACACAGCACACTCCACAAAGACTGCTCCCCTGAAATGGGCTTTGCTACCCCAAAACTGCTTGAGTTTAGAGCAGAACTCGAGGTGAAGGGAAAAGCAGAGCCACAGTGGTCCCCCCAAGATAAAACCCAAGCCTGGACCCCACCTCGTATGTCCCTGAGACGACCACCATCCCTCTGGCTCCCAGGGGACCTCAAGAACTTTCTAACAGGCCTCTGGGCTCTCCCCACCCACGCACAGAGCACACACACAGAGCCCAGCGACCCAAGCACAAACCTGATCCTAGCACGCTCTGACTGTGGATCCAGGAGAGGCGTGGTCTGCAAGCTCTCTCATCCAGCGCTCCCACACCCCCTCCCCACCAGGGAAGCCCCCTCTGCAGGGCCAGGTTTCCCCGGGAGGCCTTCTCTGTCCCTGCCCTCCACATATGGAGCAAGGTGGCCCCACTGAATGCTCCTAGAACATCTTATATTAACTGTAAACTCCAAAAAGGAGCCTTAGAGGCACAGTGGTTAAGTGTTGGGCTACTAATCCAATGGTGGGGTTTTGAACCCACAGCCACCTCAAGGGAGGACGACGTAGCAGTCAGCTTCTCCACACAGCAGCCTCAGAGACCCTGGGGCAGTCTCCTCTGCTCTGCGGGGTCTCCGAGAATCAGAATCCAGCAGTCATGTGAGGTCTCTGGGAGTCACGTGGCTCTGCTGGCCACAGGAGGCTTACTCATCAGGGGACCCTCCGAAGGGCTGTGATCGTCCCCAGCCATCCGTCTCACACAGCTCTCGACACAGGTACAAGCAGGAGCTCCTTTCCTGAACAGCAGTGCCTGCTAGGTCTTTGCTGCCCCTCATTATCCACAAAAAGCCAGGCGCCTACAACCCTGCACAACAGCCCCCACCTCCTCCTAGCAGGACCCCTGTCAGCTCTGAGCCCTGGGGCGCTCCTCTGCCCCGTGCGGACCGCAGGCCTCAGCCGAGGCCGCTCCTAACCACTGTCCTTGCCTACGCCCCTGGGTAACTCTGACGGTCCTCAGAACGAGCAGAGCTGCGGCTGGATCTCCCTCAGAGCAGCATCAGTCATCACAGCGGTCATCAGGTCATCACCAAGCGAGCGGCTAAGCTCTGGGTACAAACCACCGCCCTGGACGCACTTCTCTCTCTCTTTTTCTTCTCACACGCCACAGGGGCTGGACGGCTTTGAAACTTAAGGTCTGTGCAACTCTACACCAAGCGAGTCTGTGGGGGCCGGGAGACATTTCTGCACCGCATTTTGGCCATTCTCCCATCAGGCTCCAAGGTGGTAGGTCGCTCCAGGAGACTGACCAGCCTTCTCCCTTGGAGCTGCAGGGGATTCAAACTGCAGACCTTTCAGTCAGCAGCCAAACACCTGACGCACTGCACCACTAGGGCTCCTTTAATAGACTCCAGCACAGCACAGACATAACGTCAGGCACAACACAGACAGGCATTGGGACACAAAAAATGCCTGTGACCCACTGCCCACTACAGTCTCTGTGTGGTGTGAGAACTAAAGCACGCTATCCACAGGGTGGAGCGGTACTGGCCCTCCCTCCTAAAACTGAACCCCGAGGCATCCAGGACAGGGCAGCACGGGGGCTACATCCAGGTCTCAGCCCAAAGGCGCTCACATGCTTCTGCTGCTCTCTGACTTCCCAGGAAAAAAGCAGCTTCATAATCAAAAAAGTCTGTTTCTGGGTCGCAAGAGGAAAGTGCCGGGTAGCAAGTCTTACTCCTCCTGTTATCAGATGTTGTTGTTGTTGTTGTTGTTGATGTGTGCAGAAGTGACTCACAACTGACCTTCCAGTGAGTTTCCAGAGGCAGTAAACTGCACAGGAGACTGCCCTTCCTTCTCCCACGGAACAGCTGGTGGATTTGAACAGCACACCTTTGTATTGGCAATTCAACGCCTTGCCATTAGACCACCCGAGCTCTGTTATCAGATAGTATGGAGCAATTCGAGGGGCTGCCCGGGTGTCAGGGGACTGGTGCCCCGTGCTGCTGAGAATACGGTGCAGCCACCCTGCCCAGCAGCACCCTGCGTGCCTCCAAGTCTTCCAGGTGGGCAGGTACGCACTCCTCCTCCAGGTGCTGGGCTCTTCCAACAAGGAAAAGACAGCAACATGCAAACAGTCGTGGTCACCCTCCCTCAGCATCTCTGCGGCTCTCCCACAGGCAAACTTCCCAAGTGGTGCTAGGTGCAGCTGGGCGGACCTGACTCCGCACTCGCTGTGACACACGTCAGCCGCCCCACACGCTTCACAGGTTCTTGTCCTTCCTAGAGCAGGTCATCTCTCAAAACTGCTGCACAGGCTTGAACCTCCAACCTTTCAGCTACCAGTCAAGCATTTAATCGTTGTGTCACCAGGGCTCCAGATGGGCAATCTCCTCTCAGCTGCCTCTGAAAACCCACTGGAGGGTCAGCTATAAGTCAGTTTCGACTAGGCGGCACACAGCAACGACCATCATATATTAGTCCATTAGACTCTGAATTTTATTTCTTAAATGGACTTTGCTTCTAACCAATTAAAGATCTATTGTAAAACCTCCCACCTGTCGGCCTCAAAACAAAAAAAAAATGATTCCTGGGGCAGTAGGGGCAGGTGTCTCGGAGACAGTGAGATGCTCAGGACAGGACAGAGTTCAGAGGGTCGCTATGAGTCACAGGGTACTCGGCGGCACATAACAATAACAACAACGTGAGCGGAACAAAGACCCGTATCAGCTGTATGAAGACAAACTTTCACAAACAGAAAGATGGTCACTGTGGTCAGAAACGATGAGCCAGGGAAACGTGGGGTTTTACAAACACTGCTGACAGAGCATATTGATATCTGAGACAGCCACTGTTTTCAATCTGGCATAAAGAGTCACTGTGCTTATCTTAAAAGTGCAAGATTCATAACAGGTATGCAAGGATGGTTCAACATAAGGAAAACAATCAGTGTAATTCATCACATCAACAAGGCAAAGAACAAGAACCATATGGTCCT